TGATTTGAAGCTTTTGGTTCTTTCGGTAAAGTCACGTAGGCAGAAAATAAAATAAATCACGACATTTCGGGCGCAACACTTCACCCAAGACCCCACAGTCCACACCACATATAAACAACACACGCTGCAGGGAGTAACATCATTTGCTCTTAGGGTTCAGAATCTACGATTTTTTTTCTTGAGAGAGCCAAGCCAAGGCACCCTCATAACACGCAAGCGGAAATAAATTGCAAATATTACCAACACACAGTATGGCATGTTTACCTTGTAACCCTAGGATGCAAGCATCCCTGGCATTCAAAAGACCTGGCCATGATGTCTTTGGTATACATGTTCTAGGCTCGTGTATGACCCTATTCAAGACATGTAACACATCATTGCATAAAGGGATGAATAAGCCATATTCTCTGCTTCCAGACCCGACCACTGGCACAGCAGAGAATTTCAGGGCTCCATCTATACCCTTTGGTTAACAGCGGTTGACTCTGCGACATGACAAGCACTTCGATTTGGTTACTTACGAGCCAAAACTCGTGTAGCTGCTGGCGAGAAATTCAGCGCACACCTACCAACATCCTGCGGCGATATTATTGGTAGAGATGTCCGAGGTAACAATTTCATTGGCGTAATGCTTTTACTGGAAGTCGCTGTAGCTGGTGAAGGCAAGGCATGTGTGTGTGCGTCCCGTTGAAGTCCAAGTTGTTTCATGGTTGTGCAACCACAAGCTAGAACACACACAGTTTCAAAGACTCTTTTCAAATGGAGACCTGATTGTGCACACAAGTATTCGTGCGCGGTTTAATGTATTTATCTAATAAACTAGCTGTACTACCCGGCTTCGCCCGGGACTTGGATTCACGACGCCCGGCCGCCTTTGTCTCCCCAGTGGCGATGTTCACACACCACAGCAGTTACTCGTTTGAGGCTGAGTCGACCTAGGGGGAGGCCCAGTACCGGATTCAAATAATCGTCACCAGTGGTGGCCGTGAGCGGGAATCGAACTCGGGTCGCCGGGTTCGTAGCGCGGCGCGCTACCCACTACACTACAATGCGTTACGCTTCCACGTGCGCGGGTCACGTGACAGATGTGACGTCACAGCTCACTTGCCGTGCAAAAAATAAATGCATTATTGAGCTCCCCCTCCCCCCAAAAAAAGTGTATTTTAATAATGTTTACATGGTGTACAGTCTGGAAAGTACCCATATGGCAAATTTAAAGTTTGTTGCATGTCGGGAAGTACGCTAAACATTTTGAACAGACACACATAATCCCAGCTTTGCTTTTCATATATATGGAGATAACATGAAAGCCATTCCCATTCCGTGTCGCCACATGGGCTGTTTAACCGTACTTCACCACGCTGGTCAATGAAGGGGGTACCCCCGGCAGGTTCAGATATCACTCGTCACTGATTTTAGTGGCAGCCGGAAACCGACGGTGGATCGGATATGTGACCTGCCGCACCTGGTATGTAGGAGGGTTCGATCCCGACCCTGACGGATGTATATTTGCAGCTTGCGTGTTCTCCTCGTGGTCGTGTGGATTTTTCTCTGGGTCCTCAGAGTTTTCCCCTCCACATTTAGAAACGTGCGTTTACAGTATTTCGTTGCGACAAATGTCCACATGAGCCACTTTGCTGAGCTGGGCATTAACCGGTAAAATAATAAAACATCGTTAGTTAGTTAGAACTCTCGATTTAAAGCTTTCGTGACTGCAGGGATTCATCTTCTTGGTTCTTTCGGTAAAGTCACGTAGAAGGGAAGTAATAAAATAATAAAAATAAAACATAATAAAATAAAATAATTCTCACGACGTTTCGGCTACAACGCAAGCAGCCGTCTTCAGGTGAGGACGGCTGCTTGCGTTGTAGCCGAAACGTCGTGAGAATTATTTTATTTTATTATGTTTTATTTTTATTATTTTATTACTTCCCTTCTACGTGACTATACCGAAAGAACCAAGAAGATTAGTTAGAACTCGTTAGTTAGAACTCTGGTGGCCAGGTTCATAGCGCAATGTGCTAACCACTACGCCACTGCTCCATACCTTTAATGCAGGTTTCTATATAGCTGCATGCGGGTTTGGGTTTTTGCGGTTTCGCGAAGATGCGGCTCACCTATTTCTACCCAAAATTTGTTGTGGTTTGAATTCACTCGTATGCGGGCGGCTATGCGGTCGGACGTGGGGCAACATTGTGCACTGTGTGTGTATTGTGTGTACTGTGTGTGTGTGTACTACTGTGTGTGTACTACTGTGTGTACCTGTGTGTGTACTACTGTGTGTATTGTGTGTGTACCTGTGTGTGTGCTGTGTGTGTATCGTGTGGTGTACCTGTGTGTGTGTTGTGTGTATCTGTGTGTGTATCTGTGTGTGTGTTGTGTGTGTATCTGTATGTGTATTGTGTGTGTACTACTGTGTGTGCATTTAATACCACGTAAAGCGAGGGAAACGTGTTATCACTCACATATCAACCAGGGTTTCTTATTTCCATGCTATACGTACCATGCTGTTTTGTCAGTATAATTAAACACACGTATTGTTATTACAAAAACTGAAGTTGTAATTCCACATTCACCGACACACGCTATATTTTACATGCTAAATTGCAAGTACGTATTCAGCGTCGCTATAATCATATGGTGTATAACCTGTTACGTTACGTGTCACCCGTACACTTAATATTGTTTCCAGTCGTATGCTTTGTACATAACTATTGGCGAAATTATGGTTAAGATCTCACATCTTGTGACACACACACACGTGATTATTTTATACAATGCCATCTTGTACATTTCTATTGCAGTACACCAATGTTAAAATCACAACTTATATAGAATTGTCACACGTACTCTCATGGTGCATGCTTTACCTATGTTGCAGTATTGTTATAATCAAACATTGTCTAGAACTGTGTTGTTACACACGTCACTCGAACACCGAGTGTTAGCATTGTTATAGATTCGGCTGCATTGTATAATACGTGTATAACACAATGGTTGTGTATAACCACGTTAAAACACAATGAGTATGTATAACCGCGTTACAACACGACGAGTATGTATAACGCAGTGATTGTATATAACACAACGATTATGTATAACAGTGATTGTGTATGACACAATGATTGTGTATGACACAATGATTGTGTATAACACGATGATTGTGTATAACAGAGTGATTGTGTATAACAGTGATTGTGTATATCAGAGTGATTGTGTATAACACGATGATTGTGTATAACAGAGTGATTGTGTATAACAGTGATTGTGTATATCAGAGTGATTGTGTATAACACGATGATTGTGTATAATAGAGTGATTGTGTATAACAGTGATTGTGTATAACAGAGTGATTGTGCATAACAGTGATTGTGTATAACACAATATTGTGTATAACACAGTGATTGTGTATAACAGAGTGATTGTGTATAACAGAGTGATTGTGTATAACAATGATTGTGTATAACACAATATTGTGTATAACACAGTGATTGTGTATAACAGAGTGATTATGTATAACAGTGATTGTGTATGACACAGTGATTGTGTATAACAGTGATTGTGTATAACACAATGTTATGTATAACACAGTGATTGCGTATAGCCGCACGTGTTAACAGCGTCACGCGTTGTTGACATCTCGCTACGGAGACCGCGCGCGGACAAACCCCGCACCACCAACATCACCCCTCAACACAGAGAGACTCAAACAATCACAACAGCAGAACAGCAACTTCTCCATTGATTTCACCGATACCCCCCCTCCTCCTTACACCACCGTCACCACCTCCACCACCACTCAACACAGAGAGACTCAAACAATCACAACCCTCAGAGCAGCAACTTCTCCATTGACTTCACCGATACCCCCCCATCCTCCTTACACCACCGTCACCAGCACCAACATCACCACTCAACACAGAGAGACTCAAACAATCACAACAGCAGAACAGCAACTTCTCCATTGATTTCACCGATACCCCCCCCTCCTCCTTACACCACCGTCACCACCTCCACCACCACTCAACACAGAGAGACTCAAACAATCACAACCCTCAGAGCAGCAACTTCTCCATTGACTTCACTGATACCCCCTACCCCATCCTCCTTACACCACCACCACCACCACCTTTTTCTACCGCGACCAAAGACGCGATCCCAAAAAAAATCACAGTTGTCGTAAGAGAACTCCACTGACACTAACTACCTCCAACCACCAACACCACCACCACCACCCAAACAGCGCGATCCCAACAATATCACAAACCCTCACGACAGACAACTTCTCCACAAAGACACAACCACCACAACCACCAATCACAACACCACCACAACGCAACCACAACACCACCACAACACCACAACCACAACACCACAACCACAACACCACACACACCACAACCACAACACCACTCACACTACAACCACCAACCACAATCACCACTCACACCACAACCACAACACCACCACAACCACCGCTCACCTCCTCCAGCATGCTCGCCACCACCACAACACCACCACTCACGACACCACCACCACTACAACACCACCACTACACAACCACCACCACAACCACGGCTCACCTCCTCCAGCGTGCTCACCACCACCACAACACCACAACACCACCACAACAATATCACCACAACAACACCACCACACCACAACCACCACCACACCACCACCACCGCCGCTCACCTCCTCCAGCGTGCTCACCACCACCACAACACCACCACAACAACACCACAACAACACCACCACGGCTCACCTCCTCCAGCGTGCTCACCACCACCATAACACACACCACAACCACCACAACAACACCACCACCACGGCAACACCACCACAACCACAACCACCACAACCACCACCACGGCTCACCTCCTCCAGCGTGCTCACCACCACCACCACCACACAACCACCACACCACAACACCACCACAACCCCACCACAACAACCCCACCACCACAACACCACCACCACACCACAACACCACGGCTCACCTCCTCCAACGTGCTCACGGTGTGTCTGCAGCTCGCGATGCGGCTGCCGAAGTCCGAGGCGGTGGGCGCGCTGTAATCATCCATCGCCTCCGCCACGAAGTCGCTCGCTCCTATCAGCGTCATTGTCGCCGTCTCTGAGCGGCTCTGCCGGTGGGGAGCCGAGTGGGGAGGGGGGCGCCAGGCGGCAACAGCTTCAGCGGCAACAGCAGCGGCAGCAGCGGCCGGCCCGGACCATGGCACCCCGCCCGCCACCGCCTGTCAAGTTGTGAGCCTCGCAGTGTCAAGCCGCGCGTGACGTCATACCCACGCAATGTGACGTCATACCCGCGCGGTTTGACGTCACGCCTCGCTTTGCGCGGGAAAGGAAGGGAGGGGGCGCGTCCCCGTCGTCGCCATGGTTACGCGGGGCAAGAGTTTCGACGTCAGCGCGCAGGGTGGGGTTGACGTCACCACGCAGCGGAAGGTGGGGGTGATGTCATCACGCAGGGGTGGAGACGTCACAACGCAGGAGGCGGGGTGACGTCGGCGCGCATAGTGGGCGACGTCGGCGCGCAGGGGGGGGAGGAGTCGACGTCATCACGCAAGGGTGGTGACGTCACAACGCAGGATAGGTGACGTCACCACGCTGGGTGGGTGACGTTACCACGCAGGGGGTGGAGTGACGTCGGCACGCAGGGTGAGTGACGTTATCACGCACGGTGGGTGACGTCAGCACGCATGGGTTGGCCGAGGCGGAAGTGGCGTTGCTTTCCCTGAGCAAGATGGCTGAGTGGACGTGAGCGATCTCTGCCCCGGTGTGCGTGTGAATTCGTTATCACGGCTCCTCTCTCTCCCTTAACACCTCAAACTACCGTCAATGTCGTCGCTGCAAAGGTCTCCTCTTTCTACTCTCCCCGTGTAAAGCACAATATGATGAGACGCCGTCGATTCTTTAAAGCTTCGCTTTGCAGTTGCCTTTTGCATAATGTAGTACTCCTGTACCTTAACATGCAGCATTACCGCTATGAGCGATCAACCTCCATTTGTTTAACGATTCATGTTTCAGGAGCTTGTTATTTGTGCTGCGATCGATCTGGAGGCAAATCTTCCCGAGACGAATTGCGCTGCAGGTAATTCAATGGTAGGGCTTTGATTTAGCGTTGATTTGTGTTGACCGCGGAAGTTGCGTTTAAGGAAGTATCCCCCAGTGTCACTTATCCATTAATCGTCAACGCACCTGCTATTTAAATCATCCCATTCTGTTACCGTTTCGTAAGCCATGGCGAACGTATTGAGTGCTAGCGCTCTATACATTACATTAATTAAGTGTTTTTTTATTTAGTTCTTAATGATCTTCTTGGTTATTTCAGTGAAGTCACATAGAAGGGAAATAATAAAATAATAAAAATAAAACAATTAAATAAAATACTTTTATATAATAAAAATAAAACATAACAAAAGACTTTTATATAATAAAAATAAAACAATAACAAAATACTTTTATATAATAAAATTAAACAAAAAATAATTTATTTTATTATGTTTTATTTTTATTATTTTATTAATTTTCTTTTATTATGTTTTCCTTTTTATTATTTCGCTTCTACGTGACTTTACCGAAAGAACCAAGAAGATGAATCCCTGCAGTCACGAAAGCTTTAAATCGAAATTTAGTTCTGAATGATTTATTGAATCTGCTCAATCAAAATGAACTTGAGTGAGATTGCTCGGAAAAAAACGATTGGTTGGGAATTCCCATGAAGTTTTTGTTGGGTTAGATCGCGTAAATATATAAATGTGTCGTTATACCCGCCACCACCCAACACAGCCAACTAGTAAGGGTTGTGTAAACAAGACGTGCCAGTTAGTTACTATTTCAGCACACCGGTTTGTTGGAGAATAAACCCACAACATTCGCTGGTGATTACCACCAGCTTCAACAGGCGATATCCAGAATTTATTAAATACAGCCTAACAGAGCCTGTCCCGTGCATAATCATCGGCCACTGTCTCTTCACTGTTCTTGTTTGTTGCGGTTGCACCCGACTCAAGAGCGTGAATGGCCACAGGGCTATACCTAATGAATTAAACTGAAATGAAACTGCTGGATGCTGTTGCTGTCCATCAAGTTGTAGTGCTGTTACCATCCCCAGACATCTCACACCTGCACATGAACTGACCCTCATCATTGATCATTACACCAGCTAACAATCATCGCCCCCTACTGGCAGATATCCCCGATTGCCAAGCGCTGAACCATAGGGACAGCTGCCACTGGGGGTGCGCTTTTGAATGTGTTGATTCCGCTTGTAAAGCGCTCCCAGACTTCACATGACATTTTACGTAAACAATTGTAGGTAATAAATCTGCTAACATCGATACATCCTGCCGTCATTACATCTGCAGTGGCTGTGGGAAGATGTTGCTGTTTGTAGAGCAGAAGAGTTATGAATAAATGAGTTTTAAGTATTTCTTCAGGGTCGAAGTGAAACCAAATACTGCAGGCATGAACGAGCACCCCCTGCTGACCTATAGCAATAAGTGCAGTTCACGAATGCCGTCATCACAGATAGGATGAGTCTTGCTAAAGCAAGGTGGGACACATACCAACACATTCCTGCGGAGGGAGCTGGTAGGAACGTTGGGTTGCTCGGTCAATGGCCAGGGTCAACGGCGGCGTGGTGTATTCCGCAAATATGCCCGAATGTGTGGGCGGGGCACAAGCCGGCGTGAGTAGGTTAAACGTTGAGTTTTATAAGGGCACCACGGGGTGACCAGCCCCTCCTCACCCAGCCCCACCCCTCCCACCCCCCATTCAGCCCCTACCCACCCTCCCCACCCAGCCCCTTCCCACCCAGCCCCACCCTCCCCACCCAGCCCCTTCCCACCCTCCCCACCCAACCCCTCCCCACCCTCCCCATCCAGCCCCTCCCTCCCCACCCAGCCCCACCCTCCCCACCCAGCCCCTTCCCACCCAGCCCCACCCTCCCCACCCAGCCCCTTCCCACCCTCCCCACCCAGCCCCTCCCCACCCTCCCCATCCAGCCCCTCCATCCCCACCCGGCCCCACCCTCCCCACCCAGCCCCTTCCCACCCTCCCCACCCAACCCCTCCCTCCCCACCCAGCCCCTCCTCACCCTCCCCTCTCCACCCAGCCCTACCCTCCCATTTTTGGATGCACGACGGACGGACACAATAATCGCCTGTGGGCTGGTGGAACCAGGAGGTTCCTACCAGTATAATGAGCAGTTGTCGTTTAGTTTGCTCAAAGACACGCTGTGCTTGATATGAACGCAACAATAGGAGCGTGGAACATTCTTTCACTTCGTCAACAGTGGTTGTTGGGTAAGGACAAACTAAGTTCTGTAATATAACAAGAGATGTTCCAGCTAAACAAATGTTTACAGAAAAACAAAACTGGTTGTATTTACTAAAGTATAGACGGGGTCTTCGTATATAGAAGGAGCACGGTGGATTGGGATGGTGATTAGGACTTGCATTTATGCAGCACTTAAATACAAAGAGTATCTCTCCAAGCGTGCTACACAATCATCCCAGATGAACAATATGACCAGGGAGAGAGAAAGGAATAGAGAGTAAGGGGCCGTCCATAAATGACGTCACGCGATTTTGAACGATTTTTTACCCCCCCCCCCTCGTCACGCGGCGTCACAAAAAGTCAGACCCCCCCTCAATTATGACGTCACAAAGCTCTGCCACCCCCCCCTCCAACAATGTAACATGCTTCAAATAGCTTTGAACTATTGTCATTGTAGTGTGTATTTAATGTGACGCTGAACTCTGATGTTTTAGGAGAAAACATTTATTACAAAGTCTATTTAATTAAGCAGACCTTGTCTATATTTATTTAAAGTTGCGCATTTTGATGTGACGTCACATTTTTCAAACCCCCCCGCCCCCTCGTCACACATCGTCACAAATGTCTGACCCCCCCCCCCCCTAGGTGCGTGACGTCATTTATGGACGGCCCCTAAATACAGACAAATGATAACCAGTAAAAGAACACAAAACGCACGTTTCCATGCAGGGATGCAGGCCATGACTCGATAAACATGGAAAGTTGGGCCAACGTTGTATATTTATAGGGTAATAGTGCACTCCGTTATAAGGCGGGCAACCTAAGTTTGATTCTCAGTCACGGCTAACGTCAGTGGCGAAATGATATCTGGAACCTTTCCTGGGTTCCCCGCCTTTCAACCCGTACTGAGCCGGTGTGCTGAGATAAGGCCACTTCCCGTGACGAACACTGGGGAAGCATTCAATGACAAAGGTGTGTACATTTCTAAGCCACAGTTATATAGGAATTTGGCCCATAATAAAGACGATGTAATGTATAGACAGCAGATTGCGTGTTGTAACTTGTAAGATAGGAGCAGATGGAAGACCTTGAGATTCGCAAGGGATAAGGCTGCTCAAGGCATTAATCACTTTGCCGGATTCATGGCGACATTCCGCTAGGGGGCACAGCAACACCTCCACTGAATTGCACGTTCAATGCCTGGGGATGGGGTTTTAACACTCATGTCAGCATCATCAAGATTCATTGCTACGACTGCAAATATTCACCAATGCTGTTCATAACCTACATAGTCTTCTTGGTTCTTTCGGTAAAGTCACGTAGAATGGAAATAATAAAATAATATATTATATTATTTTTTATTATGTTTTATTTTTATTATTTTATTATTTCCATTCTACGTGACTTTACCGAAAGAACCAAGAAAATGAATCCCTGCAGTCACGAAAGCTTTAAATCGAAATTTAACCTATATAGTATAATGTACGGTGTTTGTTCGACCAATCTATTTTCACATACTTTACAGATTTATTGCATTTACAATATCAAGACGTTGTCATGGCCAAAACCGTTGATACAACCACACATCCAATGCATTCTGCGTTCTCCTATATCTCACATCTGCTGCACAATAGACACGCGACCTTCAAGATTTGCCATCAGTATCCCACCAGCTGCTCTAAAGTGTTCCTCTTGATTGCTAGACTCGTGTAGACTATTCCAACATCTGTCTCGTTAAGACCGCTTTCCTCCATCCTGTACAGCGATCCTACCCAGCAGAATGTGTTTGCCAAATCATGTCTACAACACTTACCCTCCATGTTCTCTTCCGAACTTTCGCGTTGCTTATCATATCTTGCCATGAAATTCCAAGCATCCATCTCAGACACCAATGCTCAAATGCCAAAACTTAAATGTCAAACGCTTCGGAGTCCAGCTCCATGATCAATGTTATCTTATTTTAACTTAATTTGAAGTAAAACAGATATCTTTACAGTACTGTCGTGTTGTTTCC